ATATAACGTTCAATGATTCATTAGTTGAGCATAACACCCAGTGCTCATCATGTCACACTATATCAAAAACTAATGATGTACCAGATGTTGGCTAATTGAATTTAAATTAAAAATAAAGACATATGAGACACAAATGTTCTCTTCTTTTTCTTGCCCCTATATTCTCCCTTTGTTTATAACAGGTGTTCTGGGACCTTGAGGGACCATTTTAAGAGGAAAAGCTACATGTTGAGAATGACAGTAACCTGGGTCCTTAATATTGTCACTGGGTCACTTATAATCAACCCTAGAGTTGCCACTGACAGGCTTCTCATTAAGTGAAATAATAAATGCCATTGATTTTTCTATACCTCATATAGCATCTGGGTTTCTTTTTATTTGCTTTTGGTAAACAAGCATAGCAGTCTTAAACTCAGCTGAGACAAATCTGTACTGGTTCCATAGCCAGCTGTTGGTAGTTCTGGAGTAATCAACCCCACAGGAGTGTGAATGAGACCAAAACCTGACACACACTTCAGTGACATGAGCTGAAGGCATAAGGCAGCCCTGAATTATGTGATCAGAGTGTGTCATTGGTGCAGGGGTTTGTATGACATCTTCTGGGTCCCTTCAGTAGGACTTTGAGAAAATCACTTAAATTCTCTGTGCCTTGGTTTCCTCCAATATGAAATAGAGGTTCCAATATTACCTGCCTTATAGAGTTCTTGGGAGGATTAAATGAATTCATATGTGTTAACCAGTTTAAGTAGTGCCTGGTCTATACTAAGTGCTATTATGTTGGTTATTAATTGGCTCTTTGCTGTTGGCCATTTTTTTTTCTATTGTAAGAAATAATTAAAGATAAACAGAGCTGAAATTTACTGGACACCAATTATGTCCCAGACACCATACAATGTGCTCTATAAATTGTAATATCATTAACCCAACCTGGTCGTTATTCTCTGAGGCCTGCTTTTAACCTTGAACTACCCAAGAGTCTTTGTCTTTGGGTCAGTTTCCCCAAAGACTCCAACCATGTCTTTGAAAGAAAAATGGAAGTTTCACCTAACTCAGCTTTGACAAATGTGCAAATGCTTCAGACAATATCCCAGAGACTCCTGCTCGTGGCCATTGGACACCTCATGGGGATAATCCAAACCTTCTCCCATGCCCTTACACCTCACCCTGAAGTGGAGGAAGTAGGGCAAAGGACTCTAAAGCCAAAAGGGGGCCAGAGTGGGGCAGAAATATCATCCATCAGATTGGAGGGGGAGTGCCCGCTTTGGGTGCACTCTTTGAGTCCACCCATATCTCTCCTCATCCTTCCATGTGGCCAGAGAAAATGACCCAAAGAGGGTTTCCCTTGTTTGTCTAAAGGGGAGCCCCCTCCCTTGAAGAGTCAAACAAGCTGTGCAAGGAAACACAACAAGATGTCTTAGCCTGCAAATATTAAAGGCCATGCATGGTCCTGGCCAAATCCAAGGAAACCTGGAAATGTTCCTTACTACAAGGTACATTTTCTGGTATAGCATTCCTTGGCAAATTCCAGGACCTCATCATGCCAGGCTCTCCACAGAGTTACATCTGACACCTGTACAATTCAGATTTCCAATAACAACTCCAAACACTTCTGGGTCATGTCACTGCTCTGCTCAGAAACCTCAAAGTGCTCCCTGTGGCTCAGTGAATTAAGTCCAGCCTCCCACAGGATTTTGAAATGGCTGAGGCAGGATTTCTGGCAAGGGGTCAGACATGCTGTGGGCTGTCCTCTGTGCACAGAGCCCACAGGAAGAGACCTCATCCTATAATGCCTGCTATTTATGGCCTCAGAGCAAGACAGCTCCCCTCAGGGCCAACCGAGAAAGCTGCTGCTGTTTTTGTCAGGAGGTCAGCCCCACTGGCTCAATGAATGGAGAACACTGATAAGTGCTGACCCTTCTTGCTTCCAAGGTCCTCATGTAGTAATCCCATAACCAGTTCTCAAGCCAAGGCTATTCAGAAAGAAGGCACTGGGGGAAGAATGCACTCTGAGCACTTCATAGATGTCTTCACTAATCATTACTCCAACAGCATGAGGGTGGAATTACTCTATGCAGTGTTTAGGTCAGGCTACTCAATAATGTTATTTGGCAAGGGCCATGTGAGGAGCAGAAATGGAATTTGAGCTGAGGTTTGACTCCAAAGCTAGTGTACTTCTGCATCTACTGAAATGATCATACAGTTTTCCTTTTTTGCCTTTTGATAAGAGGAACGACACTGATTACTTTTCAGATATTGAACCAAGCTCTCATTTCTGGTATAAACTCCTCTTGGTCATATTTTATCCTTTTTATATGCAGTTGACCTTGAACAATATAGATTTGCATTATGTGGATTCTCTTACATGTGGATTTTTCAATAAATACAGTATGCTGTAAATGTATTTTCTCTTCCTTATGATTTTCTTAATAAGATTTTCTTTTCTCAAGCTTACTTTATTGTAAGAATACAGTATATAATACATAGAACATACAAAATATATGCAATTGACTGTATATGTTATTAGAAGGGCTCCTGATCAAGAGTTTGCTATTAGTGATTGGGTTTTGGGGAAGCCAACATCATATGCAGATTTTCAACTTGCATGGTGCCCCCAATGCCCATATTATACAAGGGTCAAATGTATTGCTGGATTCAATTTGCCAAACTTGTATTAAGGATCTTAGGGTCAATGTTCATGAAGAATATTGGTTAGAAGTTTTCTTCTCTTGTAATGTCTTTATCTGGTTTTGGTTTCAGGGTAACACAGGTATTATAAAATGAATTGGGAAATGTTCTCTTCTATATTTTGAATGGGTTTTACATTCCAAAAGAATTTAATTCTTTAAATGTTTTATAGAATTCACCAGTGAATTAAACTCTCAACTTGGAGGTTTCTTTAGGTGGGAGGATTTTAAACTGTGAATTCAAATTCTTTGGTAGATGTAGATCTACTTAGGTTATCTAATTCTTCGTGCGTGAACTTTGATAATTTGTCTTGCAACAAATTTACACATTTCACTCATGATATCAAATGTACTGGCATAAAACTGTTCATAATATTCCTTATTATCCTTTTAAAGACTGTAGAATAAGGGGAATATCTCCACTTTCATCCCTGACATTGGTAATTTGTGTCTTCTCTCTCTTTTCTATACCATTCTGGCTATAGATTTATTAATTTTATTGATTTTTTTCAAACAACTACATTTTGGTTTTATTAATTTTTTCTATTTTGTTGTTTTCAATTTTATTCATTTTGGTCTCATATTGATGATTTCCTTCCGCATGTTTGCTCTGGATTTCATTTGCTCTTCTTTTCTGTTTTCTTAAGGTGAAAGCTTAGAATATGGATTTGAGACCTTTCCTGTTTTCTTACATAAGCACTTAATGCTATTCATTTCCATTTAAACTCTGCTTTAAACGTGTCCCACAAATTCTGATACAACATATTTTCTTAGTTAAAAATATTTTTTTCAGTTACCTTGTTATTTCTCTTTGACTATATGGGATATTTAGAAGTGTGTTGTTTAGTGTTTTATATTTTATTTTAGTGAATGTTCCATGTGCACTTGAAAAAAATGTATATTATACTGTTGTTTGGCAAAGTGTTCTAAAAATGTCAATTATATGAAGTTCATTGGTAGTATTATTCTGGTTCTCTATATCTTTATTGATTTTCTGTCTATTCTGTCACTTACTGAGAGACAAATGTTGGAATATCCAGTTACAACTATACATTTATTTCTCCTCTCAGTTTTAACCCTTCTGTTTTATATTAATCAAAAATTTTATTAGGTACATACACATATAAGATTACTTTGTCTTCTTGATGAATTGATCCTTTGGTCATTAAATAATGTTCCCACTCATAATTGGTAATAGTTTTTGTTCCAAAGATTACTTTGCCTGATATTAATATAATCATTCTAGCTATCTTTTGATTAGTGTTTGTAAGTGTACCTTTCTTTATTTTTATACTTTTGAGTATCAATGTCTTTATATTTTAAAGTGAGTTTTTTATACACAGAATATGATTGGGCCTTTCTTTCTTTCCTTCTCTCTCTCTCTTTCTTCCATCAGCAATCTGTTTTTTTAATCAGGGCTTTTGCATTTATTATAATTATTGATTATGGTTGGATTTAAATCTATCATCTTACCAATTGTTACTATTTGTTTCATTTGCTCTTTGTTCATTTTTTTTTCCTTTTTTTCCCTGCCTTCTTTTGGATTGAGTATTTATTATTCTACTAAAATAATCTCCACTGTTGGTTTATTAATATCTTTAAAAAGTTCTTTGTTAGTGGTTACTTTAGTGTTTATTATATTAACATATTCAATTTTGCATGGTCTACCTTCAAATAATTTATCACTTACATATAATGTAGGATTTACATTATATATTTTATACATATACATAAGATATTTATACAGAAGATATTTTTCCTTTTTTGGGTTTAGACAGTCTTTTAAAGCAATTAAAAATAAGAAAAGTGGGATTTGGGGGAAGATGGCAGAGTAGGAGGATCCTAAGCTCAGATAAAAATAGAAAACACCCATAGCAGTGTAAATAACCCAGACATGACCCAAAAACTGGCAAAACAAACTCTCCACAGCTAAATGTGGAGAAGAGGCCACATCAAAGAGGACAGGAAGGGCAGAGATAGGGTCAAGGGCTAAACAGACACATGGGACTGTGCATGAGAGGGAGGAATGCTACAGGTTCAGGGAGGAGAAAGAAATAGATCCTCACACTGAGCACCCCAGGCATGGAGAAGATGAATCCACAAAATATTTGGCTTTGAAAACAAGAAAGCTGCAATAATCAGTGGGGCTTAATACCTGGAACTTTGAAAATCAGTGGGTTCAGCTCCAGAAGAGCTGGGAGAGTAGACTCTCTAAACGTAAAGAGACAGCATAACAAAGAGCCCCACAGAGATACAGCATAGAAGCAGCAGTTAGAAAAACATGTGGGCATACAAGAGGGGGAGTGATTTACTCACCTTAGAGCATGTGCTGGGGGTGGGGGGATCATTGGGAGACTTTCTCAAGAACAAAGGAACTCCTGGGTGCCATTTCTTTCTCCTGCTTCCTAGATACACAGACACCTGTGGGAACCAGGACACCAATACTCTCCATCTAGTGTGCTAGCAGTGTGCCTTACCCTGATGTACATCTGAAGATCCACCCTTCCAACATGATAGGCCTCAGGAGGAGTTTTGGGTTGCTACACATTCCCTCCCACAGTGGCCTGGTATGGAACTTGCTGGCATAGCACAACCCATGTTCTCCTGCAGACCTGCCCACTTGAGTACACCCTTGGGTAGAACCCATCCAAAGCAGTGCCACAAGCCTAGCAGTGCACAACAAACCCTGATAGGGCCCAGAACCATATCAAAATAACACCTCCCCTGGAGATAATGGAAGATAACCATACACACCAGTCCAGCTACAGCCCCAAGAGGAGGCTGGGAGAAGATATCTGGTCTGACTGCAGGCTCTGACCACCAATGAAAGCTTCTCGGGGACAACACTGGGAAAGCATCCTGCAGTTTGATGCTACTGCATCTCTGGCAAATGCCTGGTCTGACTCAACTCAGTCCCAAGGCAGCTCCAGACGGCCCACTAACAACAGAGGGACCAAACCCCACAACATGCAAAGACAACCATTGCAGAGAACTGGATTAAGGCAAACATGACTCAACCACAATAGTACAGTGCACTCAACACACATAGGAGACACCCCTGAAGTGCCAGGTTCTAGTGAAAAGGGGACTTTACACTGCAGGGCATTACAGGACCTCTTCTTCATAAGGCTGCCACTTTCAAAGTAAGAAGACTTTCTTAACACATAGAAATAGACATAGAGAGTTAGACAAAATGAGAAGAGAGAAGAATATGTCCCAATTGAAAGCACAGGACAAAATTACAGCAAGAGACCTAAATGAAATGGAGATTAATATGTCTCATAAAGAATTTAAAGTAATGGCCATAAAGATATTCATAAGACTTGAGAAGATAGTGGAGGACCTCAGTACAAACCTCAACAAAGACATAGAAAACAAAAAGAAGAATCAAAGGTGAAGAATTCAAAAACTGAAATTAAAAATACACTAGAGGGAATAAATAGTAGACTAGAGGAAGCAGAAGAACAGAGCAGATACCTGGAAGACAGAGTAATGGAAAGCAATCAAGCTGCACAGGAGACAGAAAAAAGTTTTAATAACAAATGAAAACAGAATTCAGCAACACTATTAAGCATAGTAACATTAAGTTTATAAGGGTCCCAGAAAGAGAAGAAAAAAGGGGGCAGAAAAATTATTTGAAGAAATAATAGGCAAATGCTTCCTGAATCTGGGAAGGAAACAGAAATCCATATCAAGCAAGCACAGAGATTCCTCCCAAAAAAATCAACCAAAAGAGATCCAAACCAAGACACAGATTAATCAAAATGTCATATTAATAAAAATGTTATAAAGTAGTGATAAAGAATTTTAAGGGGCGCCTGGGTGGCTCAGTGGGTTAAAGCCTCTACCTTCGGCTCAGATCATGATCTCAGAGTCCTGGGATCAAGCCCCACATCGGGCTCTCTGCTCAGCAGGGAGCCTGCTTCCTCCTCTCTCTCTGCCTGCCTCTCTGCCTACTTGTAATCTCTGTCTGTCAAATAAGTAAATAAAAATCTTAAAAAAAAAAAAGAATTTTAAGAGCACAAAAGAGCACAAGGGAAACCCTTAAGTCTATCAGTTGATTCCTTAGCAGAAACACTACAGGCCAGAAGGAAATGGCATGATACAATCAAAAAAGAAAAAGCCTGAAGCCAAGATACTCTGTTAATCAAGGATATCATTCAGAACAGAAGGAAGGATAAAAAAATCTCCCAAACAAAAGTTAAAGGAAATCATGACGCCTAAATCAGGCTTATAAGAAATATTAAAGGAGACTCTTCAAATGAAAGATAAGGTCATAAATAGGAGTAAGAAAAGTAGGGAGCCAGAAAGCCATAAAATTAAGTATAAAACCCACTTAATTAACTTAAAATTAACTATAAAAACCACTTAAGGGATTTACAAAATAAAAGGATGTAAAGTATGGCACCATAACCTAAAACTTGGTGGGAGGGTAAAGACTTGGTTCAAACGTAAGGAACCACATAATATAGATTACTTATATCTACTTAATATAGATGACTAAATGCAAAAGATGTTACATACAAGCCAATGGTAACCACAAATCAAGAACTGGCAATACATATGCAAAACAAAGAGAAAGGAAAACAAACATATCATAAAGGGAGCTAGTAAACCATGAGAGGTAGCAACAAGAGAAGTAAGGAACAAAGAACTAAAAATAACTATAAAACAAGTAATAAGCTGGCAATAAGAACATACCTATCATGAAAACCACAATGAGATACCCCCTTGCACCTGTCAGAATGGCTAAAATTAACAAGACAGGAAAGAACAAATGTTCACAAGGATACAGAGAAAGGGGAACCCTCTTGTACACTGCTGGGGGGAATGCACACTGGTACAGCCAGCCACTCTGGAAAACAGTATGGAGTTTGCTCAAGATGCTAAAAATAGAGCTATCCTACAACCCAACAATTACACTGCTAGGTATTTACCCCAAAGATACAAATGCAGTGACCTGAAGGGGCACCTGCACCCTAATGTTCATAGCACCAGTGTCCACAATAGCCAAACTCTGGAAAGAGCTGAGATGTCCTCCAACAGATGAATGTATAAAGAAGATGTGGTTCATATATACAATGAAATATTACCTAGACATCAGAAAGATGAATATCTACCATTTGCATTGACTTGGATGGAACTGGAAGGGATTATGTTGAGCAAAATAAGTCAATTAGAGGATGACAGTCATCATATGGTTTCACTCATATGTGGAATATAAGAAATAACACAGAGGATCATAGAGGAAGAAATGAATGGGAAGAAATCATAGGGGAAGAAATGAATGGGAAGAAATCAGAGAGGGAGACAAACCATGAGAGACTCTTAACTATAGGAAAAAAAAAAACAACTGAGGGTTGTTAAAGGGGAAGTGGATAGAGGAATTGGGTAATTGGGTGATGGGCATTAAGGAGGACATTTGATGTGATGAACACTGGGTGTTATACACAACTGATAAATTATTGAACTTTCCATTTGAAAATAATGATGTACTCTATGTTGGCTAATTCAATTGAAATTAAAAAGAAAGGAACACACCTATCAATAATTACTTGGAACATAAATGGACTAAATACTTTAATAAAAAAAAAAAAACAGGGTGAAGGAAGGATAAAAAAACAAGATCCATCTTTATGATGCCTACAAGAGACTCATTTCGGATCTAAAGGCACATGCATATTGGAAGTGAGGGGATGGAAAAGCATTTATCATGTAAATGCAAGTGAGAAGAAAGCTGGGGTTGTGATGTTTATGTTGAACAAAACAGACTTTAAAACTAAGAATACAACAGAAGACAAAGAATACTACCTGATCATAAAGAGAACAATCCAACAAAAGACATAACAATTGTAAATATTTATATACCAAACATGGGAGCTAATAACAAACATAAAGGAACTAACTGATAGTAATACAATAGTAGTAAGGGACTTTAACATCCTATTTACATCAATGGATAGATGGTCCAAACAGAAAATCAATAATGAAATAGTGGTTTTGGATGACACACTGGACAAATGGATCTAACAGATATATTCTATCCTAAAACAGCAATATATTCTATCCTAAAACAGCAAATATATTCTATCAATATATTCTATCCTAAAACAGCAAAATACACATTATATTCAAGGGCACATGGAACATTCTCTAGAATAGATTCATGTGTTACACCACAACACAAGTCTCAAAAAATTAAAAAAGACTTAAGTCATAGATATATGTGTCTGTTTTTGTGCCAGTACCATATTATCTTAATGATTATAGTTTTGAGATACAGCTTGAAGTCCAGAACTGTGATGCCTCCAGCTTTGGTTTTCTTTTTCAACAGTACTTTGGCTATTTGGGATCTTTTCTGGTTCCATATGAATTTTAGAACTGCACAGAATAGAGAACCCAGAAATGGACCCATAAGTATATTGTCAACTAATCTTTGACAAGGTGAGAAATAATATCCAATGGAAAAGACAGCTTTTTTCAACAAATGATATTGGAAAAATTGTAGATGTAATCATCTACATGTAAAACAAGTAGAAGAATGACACTGGGCCACTTTCTTACATCATACACAAAAATAAATTCCAAATGGATGAGGGACCTAAATGTGAGAGAGGAACCCATCAAAATCCTAGAGGAGAACACAAACAGCAACCTCTTTGATCTTGGCCACATCAATTACTTATAAGACATGTCTCCAGAAACAAGGAAAACAAAAGCAAAAATGAACTATTAGGACTTCATCAAGAAAAAGCTTCTGCACAGCAAAGGAAATATGTATACACACATATACAATATACTATTATTCAGCCATCAAAAAGAATAAAATCTTGCCATTTGCAAAAACATGGATGGAGCTAGAGCATATTATGCTAAGCAAAATAAGTCAGTAAGAAAAAGACAAACACCATATGATTTCACTCTCACAAGGAATTGAAGAAACAAAACAGATGAATATAGGGGATGATATGGAAGTGATGAATCACTAAATTCTATCCCTGAAAGTAATACTACACTATATGTTAACTAACTTGAATGTAAATAAAATCTTGAAAGTTGAAAAAAAAAAAGATTGAAGTCATAGAATGCAGCTAGCCTTAAACTGATATCAAAACCAGATACAAACATAACAAATAAGAGCTACAGGCTAATATCCCTGATGAACATAGATGCAAAAATCCTCCACAAAATATTAGCAAACCAAATCCAACAATGTATTTTTAAAAAATCATTCATCATAATCAAGTGGGATTTATTCCTGGGATGCATGTGTGGTTCAATATTTGCAAGTCAATTGATATGATACATCACATCAACAAGAGAAAGGATAAAAACCATGTGATCATTTAAAA